GGTTCAAAGCTGAACAATGCGGGGACAACTGAAAGTCCACGGCCAAGGCAGGATGTTGTAGTCTCTTAGACACTGGCAAGATGGAGAAGCTAGAATTCTCATCAGTGGGCACACTACATGTAGAGTTTCAGGAAATCTCAGGAAAAGCCAGAAGTTCCTTTTTTTTTCTTTTGAATTTTTCTTTTTTTTTCTGTTATTCTTTTCTTTATTTTATTTTATTATTTTATTTTTTTTAAATTTATTTATTTATTAAGGATTTCTGCCTCCTCCCCACCACCGCCTCCCATTTCCCTCCCCCTCCCCCGATCAAGTCCCCCTCCCTCATCTGCTCGAAGAGCAATCAGGGTTCCCTGACCTGTGAGAAGCCCAAGGACCGCCCACCTCTATCCAGGTCTAGTAAGGTGAGCATCCAAACTGCCTAGGCTCCCCCAAAGCCAGTACATGCAGTAGGATCAAAAACCCATTGCGATTGTTCTTGAGTTCTCAGTAGTCCTCATTGTCTGCTATGTTCAGCTAGTCCGGATTTATCCCATGCTTTTTCAGACCCAGGCCAGCTGGCCTTGGTGAGTTCCCGATAGAACATCCCCATTGTCTCAGTGTGTGGGTGCACCCCTCGCGGTCCTGAGTTCCTTGCTCGCGCTCCCTCTCCTTCTGCTCCTGATTTGGACCTTGAGATTTCTGTCTTGCTTAGTCCCTGGGTTTCCTCAACCTCACTCTGTAGACCAGGCTGGCCCCGAGCTCAGAGATTTGCCTGCCTCTGCCTCCTGAGTGCTGGGATTAAAGGAGTGTACCACCAGTGCCCAGCTTAAGTTCCAATATTTTTTTAAAATAGGGCTTGTTACTTTGTGGAGTCTGCAGTTAATTTGAGAATTGAAAATCAATGAATTTATTTTTAATTAGTCATTCCAATTTTCTTTTTACATGTTTCTACTTAGCAACCCTCTTTGATCTATTTTATTTGTCCCCTTTTGGAGACAGTAGACACCCAGATGTGTTGGATAGAGATGGTAGACTGGGAATCGCTCAGCTCCTGGAACAGTGGGTCACATGGCCACTTTATGGGTATATAGGGCAGCACTTGATCTCGCTGGACCAGTTTTCTTTCTCCTTTCTGCTGCAGGCTAATCTTCAATCAGCAGGTGCTACCCTGTAGTGGAACTCTTGTGTATAACTTGAATCATATCAAGCTCCCTAAGCCCTGCCTGTTTCTAAACCAGTTTCGTTCCCACAGTGCCGGCAACATCATTTTGTAGCCTGCCTTTCCTCTCACTCAGGGGACCTCTGTGCTGTGACTTATCTTGGCTGAATGTCTTTCTCAGTACTTGGTGCAGGGGCAGAATTGCTGCATTGTGGATGCTTATGTCCTGTGGTCCTGAGAAGCAGGCTCCCCAAACACTAGGAAACTTTGCCCTCTTTTTTGTGTGTGCATGCAAGATTACTTGGAAAGAATTTAGTGCAGTCTTGGTAACCATGGTGCAATAAAACCCTGTTTCATTGTGCCCAGAGGGATTTCTGCTGTCTGTTTTCTTCAAGTATTGTTCATTAGAATTCACTGTTAGCAGTATCATGGCTAAGCAGTGAGAAATTTCTTTTTCTAAAAAAGTTATTTTATTTTTTTATATTTGGATGCAGGTGACTCACGGAGGTCAGAAGAGGGTGTCGGAGTCCCTGTAGTTGGCACTGTGAGCCATCCAGTGTAGATTCTGGAACCTGAACTGAGGATTTCTGATAAAACAACAAGTGTTCTTAACCACTGAGCCATCTCTCCATCCTGAGAAGAATCCTTTTGTTGTTGTTGTTGTTGTTGTTGAGAGAGTTACTCTGTGTAGCCCTGGCTGTCCTGGAACTTGCTCCATAGACTAGACTGATCTCAGACTCACAGAGATTCTTCTACCTCAGCCTCCCAAGTACTGGGATTAAGGACATGCGCTTCTATTGCCCAGTTCAATCAAAGTTTCAATTGGGAAAAATATGTGGTTCATATATTAAATTAAACTTTGAGAATCTTCATAACCCAAGCATACCTCTTTTTAGGGTGTGTGTGTGTGTGTGGTACATGTATGTGTGATTGTGGTGTATTTTTATGTCTGGAGGCTGATGGTTTCTTTTTCTCTTACACGGCACCTTATTTTTTGAGACAGGAACTCTCACTGAAGCTGGCGTTTTCTGGTTTGACTAGACTGGATAGCCGGTAATTTACAGTAATCCTGTCTGTTTCCTTAGAGCTGGGATTACAGGTGTGCCACTGGGCTGGCTTTCCCATGGATCTTAGCCGTTCACACAGGTCCTCGTGATTGTGTAGCACACATTTCACCAACAGAGCTGTCCTGTCAGACTCATTATCTGTCTCTTGATGGCTTCATTTAGGTCATGGAGAAGGAGTCGCTGCTTTGTACACACACACACACACACACACACACACACACCTGCTCTGGAAGACTGAAGTCTGTGTAGCTTCAGTGTAGACACACTGTGTTCCAGCACACAGACGCTGCTGCCCAGCTCTCCCACAGATCTACATTCTGTGGACTGGGTAGCTAGTTGTTGCCTCTGCTTCCCGAATGCTGTTTGTTGACAGGTTTCTGTCCCGCCTGGTCCTGCAGCCATTCAGTCTCAAAGAGACACACAGAGGGAGGCCTACATTAATTATAAACTGGTTGACCTATTACCTCAGGCTTCTTCTTAACTCTTATAACTTACAGTAACCCATAATTCTTCTCTGTGTTAGCTACGTGGCTTGGTACCTTTTATCAATGAGGCATTCTCATTTTGCTTCCTCTGTGTCTGGGTGACGACTGCACCCTTTTCTCTTTTAAGTTATTGAGCTGGAGGAGATTTCAGTATACTAACTGCTAGGAATTTCTACTTTGTTTAACGAATCATTGCAGGATGAGACAGGTTCTTCTGTCCGGGCGCCAGGTCTGCTCTGCCAGGCGGTTTGGTGGGCAACCTTACCCAAACAGATTGCAACATTAAAGAAAAGGCCATGTGAGTTCCTGTGTAGCCGTGCTCCCTAAACTTCAGAACTTTCTTTTAAATCTCAAAACAAAATGGGAACAATTCTTAATGCCTACAAACTCGGCACCAAAAAATCAAAGTACAACCACATTATTTTATTCGAAATATACAGAGACATTACAAATTTATAAACTATCTAAAATGAACAGTATTTACAAGCATTTTTGAAAAATATAAACTCTCATGAACACAGTTTATCAAAAATATTTGACAACATTCAAAGTATTTCTATGGTCCCTCCCCCGGTAAAGCTTTTGAAGGTGAAAGTGACATTTAGTTTGGCTTCGCTGGCTTGATCATTCCCCCCTGGTGTTGAGGATCAAATCCACTGCCTTTGTACATGCTGATGGAGCACAGGCTGATGGTGCTACCGAGCTATGTTCCCCCTCTCTAAGAAAGAGTTTTGTTGGAATGATTTTATATTGTCATTGAGAGTGGACAATGATGAGGTCACTTTCTCTTAATGTCTACGGTGAATAGTGCGGCCGAAATTGACGAAAGACGAGGGATTCACGAGATCTCATGCTCAGAGGCCCTCCTCGTTCTAGGGAGAAGACTGTGGGTTAAAATGTGGGTTCAGTGAGAATCAGCTTTAGTGAAGTGCCTGTTCTTTACTGGGCATGATACAGGAAGCTTTCCATGTACATGAAGTAGTGGTTTCCGTGTTTAGAAATAAGTGTTAATTCACTCCATGGTAGCTAAATCTAAAGATTTTTGTGAATAGCGTTTGCTTTGGACTAAAAATAGAGTCATCAACCATTGACCTAACAGTGAAATTATAAATGACAAAAAGCTGTTTTCTTTACATAAGTATCGATATTGAGCAATAAATCATAAGCAGTCCATGTGCTGACAAGGTATAGACATTCAAATGCAGAGTACGGGGCAAGCAGTTCCAATGACACAGAGTGGATAAAGGGACCCAGTAGCTTCCTCCGCCTTAAGCATCATCTTCTTACTGAGAAAGGTTCAGTTTTGGTGTTTGGTTTACAATAAAGTTTTAATTTCCAGAGAGTTTTCACCAATATTTCATTGTTTCTCCACATATGACAACTCATTAAATCTCTCAGTCTTTCTCCTGGGCATATATGTCAACACAAGTTCATTTTCCAACCCAGGACACATCCATTCTTGTGTTCCAGGAACCTTTGGCCCATGCACAGTGTACCAAGGGTAAAACTTGACAGCTAAGATGTCAGGTAACAAGTGACATTTAATAAACATCTAAAAGTTAAGATCACTAGAATGGAGAACTGCCACAACCCGAGAAAAGAGGTCAAGAGAGATGACTGATGTCCTCACCAAGAAGATGCCCCGGAGGACCCAGCAGAGTTGTCACAGCGAAAAAAGAAAACCAGTAAAAGAATTGTACAAGTTTCAAACACACCACCCCTTCAGAAGAAAATTTCCTACAAACTTGTGTTCACAGCTTATATACTTGATACACAAAGTGAGGCAGTGATGGATAGTAAACACGCATTTGACTTGAGGTATCAACTCATGGGATGCCCATGGCTTATCAGCTTCCATAAGTAGACAGTGCAGTTAACACTCAGCAGGAACCCCCGCTGGAGATCCTAAGAGCAGGGATCGAGAGTGAGTCAGAGAAATCCAATGCAAAACGGTAAGGAGCAAAAGACACTTTCTGTAGTATGTCTGGAGTCTTAACACTTTGTTTTCAGAAATTTCTCTCTCCCTACACACTTATTAATGAGCTGAATTGGAAAGCGTGGCCAAGATGAATTTAATAGGAAAAAATGCATTCATAATTCAAAACAATAGTAGACTGTGTCCATTCTGAAAATTCAGAAACTGGCCGGGCGGTGGTGGCGCACGCCTTTAATCCCAGCACTTGGGAGGCAGAGGCAGGCGAATCTCTGGGAGTTCGAGGCCAGCCTGGTCTACAAGAGCTAGTTCCGAGACAGGCACCAAAGCTACAGAGAAACCCTGTCTCGAAAAACCAAAAAAAAAAAAAAAAAATTCAGAAACTGTTCATAATTTCCTTACTAAGGTGAAAGTGGGAATTATTCAGAGAAAAATATAAGTCTTTGACTACGTTTGTGGGCAGGGACTGTTTAGTGGTTGCAAAAACATAATAGACATGAATCTTCTAGAAGAAGATGAAACTTGATTTTCCAATTTGATGGTGAGAACAAAGTCTTTCTTTTTCCTTGTCCTCCCATCTAGAGTGTTTGTACAGTGTTAAATATGCAAACATACAAACAGACCTTCCAAAGGTAAGTATTGTTTCTCTCCAGGTTTCTTGGTCAAAGTTCAAAGTTTATGGAGATTTCGGTCATCAGTCCTGCTAAACAGGGTGACGTCATCATCATAGCCTGAGGCTGCACAGTCTGCATTCTCTAATAAAACATAGCTGTTCTGACGGCCATTTGGAGAAAGGACTTCCATCTTAGCAGTGGATGTGAGCTCACTCCAGGTGATGTCTGTGTTTTTAAAAGCATGTAGAAGGAAGATGCCATTGATGATGGTGAAGAATCCACTCAGGGTCCCAATGACATCTCTGGCTTTCATGCCATACCACTCCTGGAACAAGATGGCAGAACACGTCACCACCATGGATGTGAAGAACACGTAATAAATGGGAGTCACCAGAGATGTGTTAAAAGTGTCCAGGGCTTTGTTGAGATAGTTGATCTGTGTCGCCACTGAGAGGATAAGCACAGCCAACAGGATGAAGACTAGGGGATTCTTGTAAACAGGCTTCCACTCTAAAAGCTCCTTGGCGGCGATGCCCAAGCCCTTGGCAGAAGAAACTGAAAAGGCTCCGATCAAAGAGCAGATTGCAATGTAGACCAAGATATTTGTCTGTCCTTTCTTTGGTGCCACAAGCACAATCAGCACCAAGGAGATCACAGAGACGATCAGAGCAAAGGACACGAACCCTGTTAGGAGGAGAAAGAGTCAGACTCAGGAGATGCTAATAGGACCAAACCTTCCCGAGGTACCACTTGTCATCAATTTAAGAGCACAGGATTTCGAACAAGTGAGAGTAAATAAATGATATTTGGCTCCTTAGTGGATTCATAGAGCAGTCCACAAACATATCATCTGAATCTCCACAGCATCACTGCAAAACTAGACAGGTGTAGCATTTTATATTTTTACTTAAGGAAGAAGGGGCAGGAATTTGGGTTCATTAAGAATCCTTTGTTGCCGGGCAGTGGCTCATGTCTTTACTCCCAGCACTTGGGAGGCAGAGGCAGGAGGATCTCTGTGAGTTCAAGGCCAGCCTGGTCTACAGAGCGAACTCCAGGAAGGCTCCAAAGCTACAGAGAAACCCTGTCTCAAAAAACCAAAACAAGAAACAAAACAACAAAAAAACACAACAACAAAAACCAAATTAATTGTTAACTTCTTGGAAAAGTTATAAGGAACAAATCTCACTGTGGCTTACAACCCGCGGCAGGTTTGTTGGGCATCTTCAGTGTCAACACAAGTTTCCTTTGGTGATGGACATGGTGAAGCATGGGTAATGTCAGTACTCAGGAGACTGACAAAGAGGACTGTACATTCAAAACTATCCTTGAATGTGTGTGTGTGTGTGTGTGTGTGTGTGTGTGTGCGTGTGTGTGTGTGTATTGAGGGCCTATCGCAATCAAACCAAACCAAACCAAGTCAAAAGCAAACATACAGACATCATTTGAAGGAAAAAAGAAAGTGACGTCAGTGGGATTTATTTCTTCCTTTTTGTTTGGTTTTGCTTTGTTGTTAAGGCTGAATCACTGACCTGGATCCTTCAGTTTTATTTCCATCTCGTGCAAAGAAGTGACTTCTTCCTCTTGGGGGGCATGGATAACCATCACAGTTGACCCCAATATGCTCAATATGCAGCCTATTTTTCCATGAATGTTCAAGTGCTCATTTAAAAAATAGGAAGACAATATTGCGCTGTTGAGAGAGAGAGAAACAAAATCACCACCGTTCAATTACCGTTTGATTCCACCGCAGTTTAGAGGTTGCACTAGTGCTCGTGTTCAATGAACCCCACGGAGCTGACTAGAATATGCTCTGTGACGCTGAAAGGCCTTAAATGGATAGCTCAGAAATGATGGTTAAGGATCCCTATTCTACTGCTTTTACAGTTTGGGAGATACCATAGGCATGGAATGCTCCTGTTTTCTCCCCATTGCCTCTTAGAGTTTAATTAGCTTTCAACCATCCCCTGTAAAGTAACTGCAATGAAAAGTATTTTATAGCTCTCTGGCAACAGAGAACACCCTTATCTGCAATGCTTAGCTCCTGAAATGCTTCGACGGCAGGTGTTTTGGAGGCGGCTTGTTTGCATGGATGAGAGCTCTTAGCGAGGGAGCCTGAGCTTAAATAGAAGATTCATCTGTACGTCATAAAGACTTGACAGACTGACCGGAGGGAAATTTTACACAATATATGTGATACGCTCATGTTTCCACTCCAGACTGTCACATGAGGTCAGGTAAGGAACTTTTCACGCAGGCATCCTACGCAGGCTTAGAATATTTCCAGTGTAGGATGACCTTGGGTTTGAGTTTTGAATCATGGATGGTCAAGCTGTACCCTGATGTTTCAAAGATACACACCCTAGGCTGAGGAGATGGGTCCTTCAGTAGTGTCTGCGGCACAAGAACCAGTACCTGAGTTTCACAACTAAAACTCTTGTAAAAAACACAAACAACTGTCTCGAAAATCAAGAAAAACAAAACCAAAAACAAAACACCACAAACAAAAAAACTAGTGTGGTTGTACATAGTTTTAAAACCCCAGTGCTGGGGAGGTAGAGACAAAAGGATTGGGGGCTTGCTGGTCAGCTGACCTATTTGTCAAGCTCCAGATAAGTTAGAGACCTTGTCTCAAGATAAAAAGGTACACAGTGCCTGAGGAATGACCCTTGAGGCTGTCCTTTGGGCCTCATTACACACACACACACACACACACACACACACACACACACACACACGCATGCACTCACACACAAACACATGCACGCATGCACATGCGCACGGAGGGCATAGAAAGATAGAGACCTAGCTAGCAGGTACTCTGTTCAGAGTTGATACATAACTAACACATACCTGAACAACCATACAGATCGTCAAACAGTGAAACACTTTCTCACGTCCACTCCTGTCTGGATATTTCTGACTAGCTAATGCTCTCAATGCCTCGCTTGCCATGGTTTGCTTCCTAAGTGCTCAAGGCTGGCACTACCATAGATATCAGAGTAGGACACTCTGCTGCCACACCGAGCAGCTCTCTGAGGCTTCTGCCCATCAGCCTCCTTTCTTACCATTCTCACTAAAGGGTGCCATTTGAACCCTAGACTGTGAGCATTTAGGAATAAGGTGCTTTCTCAGAGTTGTCCCCTCGTGGTCACTTGTGGGACTGCAGTCCCAGCGAAAACTCGAGTCTTCAGACAGCTAACACGTTGGCTTCTTTAAGTCTCTCAATTCTATAGAGACACAAAGGAGACGTATATAGGCCTAGCCAGAAGTTTTCTACTAGATACCGATAATTTACAGACTCCAAAGAGACAAAGACAACAGAATGGAAGTCAAGGCACACAAAGAGTTCACAGGTCATCAAACAAGTCGGTTGGAAGCTCAAAGCAGAGCAACTCAGAAAAATCAGGCCCCGTGTGCTGGTTGGTTTTGTTAACTTGGCACAAACTAGAGTCACCTGGGCAGAGGGAGCCTCAATTATGGAGTTGCCTCCATCAGTCTGGTCTGCGGGCATTTCTTGATTAATGATTGATGTGGGAGGGCCCAACCCACTAGGAGTGTTGCAACCCTGGACAGGTGTTCCCGGGTTGTATGAGAGAACACGCTAATGGAGCCATAGGGAATCAGCCAGCAAGCACTGTCTCTGCATGGCTCCTGCTCCATCTCCTACCCTGAGCTCCAGCCCTGGCCTCCCTCAGTGACAGACTAGGTAGGAACTAACCCTGTCCTCCTCCAGCTCATTTTGGTGACACGGTGTTTATCACAGAAACAAAAATCCAACTAGGACCCCCACGTACTGTAAGACAGGAAATCCTGCCACGGCATCCAGAACAGGTACCTGGCAGGCAAGGATGGGGTTTTAGTGAGAGCTGAAGTGTAGCTTAGACAGATGGATGCCTTTGAAGCCCTCTGATAACCGCTGTCCTTAGTAACTATGGCAACAAGAAAAAGTCAAAGGAGTTTCATAGTTTACTCAGATTAGAGATATAAACCACACCAAAAACCTCTGGCTAGGCTTCACTGTGTCAGCGCGCGCGCGCGCGCACACACACACACACACACACACACACACACACACACAAATTTATAACCACCTTGTTAGTAGTAAGCCAAGCTCTCCTGTCAGGTTTTTCTCTCTCTCTTTTCTTTTTGTTTTTATTTTGCTTGTTAACAACTTGCCAGTGTAATTCTTATGTCTCTTGCTGTCTTTTTGTAGATTTCTCAAAAATTTTTTTCAGAGGCAAGATTAGTTTTTTTTTTTCCTTTCCTGGGGATCAAACTCAAGGCCATTTGCATGTAAGCAATAACCCAAGAAATAATCTTTTATGCCTTTATTATAAATGGCTTGTCTCTACACTCTCAGGAGTCCCAGACATTATTTGAGGCTGTCTGTGCTTTAAGAGCTCAGGTGGCATTGTGTGTGTGTGTGTGTGTGTGTGTGTGTGCTGGGATTTCTTAGCAGAATGCTTCTTGTGGTTTAGTGCCCTGCTGACAGCGAACTAGCCACAGAAGCCAAGCTCTCTGTTGTTCACCTACCTCACGAGAACACTCAGAGCCCCCAAGGGCGTGATCAAGGTGGCAGGTGCAAAGGCATAAGCCGCAAAGTTCGCTGCCTCTCCAGCTCCCACTGGAAAGCAAGCACAAGTATGAGTGGATGGGATAACATAACATCTTCATCAGAAGAGAAAAGCAAACGATTCACGATAGCAGCAGACTTTGGTCTCAAAGATGCAAAGCCATACCTGAAAGCAAAGGTTTAAACTTGCAGCCTGTGGGAAAGGCCACTATTATGGGATGGAGAGCTACTGTAATTGCCAGGAGACAACAACGTAACAACGCTGAGGGAGGGATGCACATTTTACACAATTTCCAATTGAGACCAGCTCCTTGTATGCTGACAGTGTATTTGGTCAGTCGAATGGAGTCAATAGAGGGAGCTTTGGAGTAAGTTGAGAAGGAGCAAATTTGCAATTTAGCCACAGCAGTAACATCAGACACCCTATAAAATGATAAGGACCTATAGGGATCTGGTGTCTAGGTGGCAGATACCCAGGAACCCCCACCACAGGCCCATGGCAGGAATCTCTGAATTGGAGATGGCCTATAAGCAAGTGATTATGTCTCAGAAACTCAAGAAGATCCAAGTAGCTGTTTGGAAGTCCTAAGGATGAATGTTGGAATGTAATGTCATCTGAGAAACTAGAGATCCGCACCAGGTAGTGCAAAGAACTTCCTGAGTGAGGGGAATTCCCCCAAGAGCTGGCTTTTGTGTGCAAGCCAGTTTATTCTCAGAGACCGCAGTGGGACACTTTCCCAGAAATTGCAGTATTCCACGCTGTCCAACTGTGCCAAGCAAACACATACGGAGAGAGAAAATAGCAGTGTATACTCTTTTCTCTGTCTGCTTTGCTACCACACCCAACCTACAGGAATACCCAGCATTAGAACATCATTAAAAAGACTCTAAATTGTCGCAGCGATTACTTTAACTATGTTTACACATCTTTAGATGTGTTACATTTGTTTATGCTGTGGAATATTAAACTGTGGAAGGGTGTGTTCCATTTGTTTATGCTGCATGTGTTTAATGGTGCAAGGGTGTGTGTTTAATTATGTAAAGATGTGTTTCATCTGTTTCACCTTGCCTGCCAAAGGTACCTGATCGGTCTAAAAAAGATCAGAACGACCAATAGCTAGGCAGAGAGAGATAGGTGAGGTGGGCAGGCAGTGAGAATAAATGGGAGGAGATATCTGGACTGGAAAAAAAAAAGAGGATCAGGAGAAGAGGAGAAAAGAGAAGGAGAGAGAGGAGTCACCAGGGACCAGCCACTCAGCCAGCCATAGAGTAAAAAGGAAAGAAAGACATATAGAATAAAGAAAAGTAAAAATCCCTGAGGCAAGAGGCAGATAAAGAGAAGCAGGTTACGTTAAAAGAGCTAGCCAGGAACGAGCCTAAGCTAGGCCGAGCATTCAAAACTATTAAGTCTCAATATGTCATGATTTGGGAGCTGGTTGGTGGCCCCAAACAAAAAGCCTGGTACTCTAAATTTACAGAGCAGTTAGGAGACCACTCTCATTAAAAAAGCCAAGGACTTTTCAGACTATTCGGCTTCCTTTGAAGCCCTTATGTTGTTTATAGTTCCTATTTTATAGATGTCCTTCCAGCAAAGCTTAATCTCATCTACTGATAGCGAGACAGCCCCTCTAATGCATGATCTCATCCATGCTATCACCAGCTTTTTATTTGGTATACATGATATTATAAATGCAGCCATATGATTTTCTCCTTAGATTTTCATTTTAAGATTTACTTTCGTTTCATGCCTGTGAGTGTTGGCAGGCATGTATATATGTACATTTTGTGGGTGCCTGGTGCCTATGGAGGTTAGAAGAGATGGTCAGAACCCCTGAACTGAAATTGAAGATGGCTCTGAGCCACCACAGTGCTGGGAATTGAACCCAGGTCCTCTGCATGGGTATCAAGTGATCTTGACCAGTGAGGCATATCTCCAGTCCCTATGTTTTTGTTTGAAAATGGGAGGGAAGGGTAAGGAGATACATGTAAAACACACACAGAGAGTTAGAGGATCACTTAGATAAGACCAACTGGAACCTTCCCAGGGCAGAGCAGTCAACTTTTATTCAGCAAACAGATATGAACACTCCTGAAAAATGGAAAGAACGCTACAAAATTTAAATGTTTTTATCATCTCTTTTTAGCTTTCATCCTTGTTAGTCAAAAGGTACTCAAGCTATTTCTTTTGAAAAATTAAAAAATGCTTTCTTTATTTTGTGTGTATGAGGGGTTTGCTCAGATGTATGTCTGTCCACCTGGGGCCTGTGCGGGTCAGTTGTCAGATCCCTGGAACTGGAGTTATGGTTGTGGCCTGACACATGGGTGCTGGGACTCAGACCTGGGTCCTCAGCAAGAGCATCAGTGATCTTTACTCCAGCCCCCAAGTTCTTTCTTAGAAAGGGTTTCTTAAATGTTGAAATAAGTTACTTAGCCATGGGAAATAGGGACACTTTTCAATGAAAAAATAAATTAATAAATAAGCCACCAAGTTGAGTTAAGAACTCAGAAAAAGAGCTGGAGAGATGGCTCAGAGGTTAAGAGTACTGGCTGCTCTTCCAGAGGACCCGGGTTCAATTCCTGCACCCATGTGGATGCTCACAGTTACCTGTAACCCCAGTTCTCCAGATCTGATGGTTGGCCTTGACAAGGTGCACACACCACGCAGGCAAAACACTCATACACTTAAGATATAAATAAATATTACAAAAAAGAACTCAGAAGATACAGGAGGGAAGATATTTCTCAATTCTCATAGGAAATAGGGGAAGTCTGTGATAAACTATAATATTGGGACTCCCCTTGGGAGGCCTCACCCTCTTTGAGGAGTAGGTGGGGGGACGGTGGGGGAAGCGAGAGGAGGGGAAGAAGTGGGGACTGGGATTGGTAGGTAAAATAAAAAATTGTTTTAAAAAATAAAGTAAATATAATACTGGAAACAGTAATTTCTTCCTTAGCATTCCTTAGCTAGAGCAGGAGTTGTGAAAACAACCTATACAACACACAGTTAAATAGAAGGCGATGTGTGACGTCACCAGTCACTTCCAGAAAGTTCCACCCTCCTCAGGAAGGAAGGGTAACTGAGTCTGAGAACTCCCGGCTTTCATACTTACTGGACAGCAGTCCTGCCCACCACACCCATTCCTTGAGGTAAGAATGTCCACCTTGCCCTGGGGGAAAAAAAACCAGAAAACAAAAATCAGGTCGTCACCTCAGGAGATAAGGGCAGAACTGACTCCTAGGAGAGGTGTTGGGGACCCTGCAGACGGCAAAGCTCCCGGTCACCTCAGCAGCTGTCCACTCCGAGGACACCTACTCAGTCCTTCCTGGGGCCTTTTCGGGTTTTCTGTTACCTTTGACTCCCTAGAAAGTTCCTTTGACTTGTGGGGAATTTTACTTAATCACTAGGTTCAATAACGATGTCAGACGGCAATATAGGCATGGGTGCTATAAATTCTGAATTCTTTGTTTCAGCCATGGTTAACATTAAAACCAAACCATAACTCGCAAGAGACACTGGTCCTAGAGGGAAGAAGATACTGGATACAGGAGCTTTTGAGATTGTGGACGAGTCGGCTAAAGAACAACAAGCATTGGCGTGGTGGGCTCTGCTCCTCCTTCACCTGGAGACATGGAAGGCCCAAGGGTTTTTCTGAAGCCGCCTGGACTCACCTCACCATGACCACAAAGGCTGACCTGAGTCACTGCTAACATGTTAGCTAGAGAAAGGGGAATTTTCTCAGCTCTAACACTTTCTGACTTTGGCCTCGACGATTTGTTATAGTTAAACTAAGAGGATCCATAAGCAATAAAGATGATCTTGCAAAATCATTCCTACTTCTTTAGTATTTTCTCCTCATCGAATTTACTAATGACTAGACAGGAAGCACCTCATCACACTGGAGGTCTGCATCTCTTCTCTGTGCTCTTTACTTGAATGACTGACCTATTTTGTCAGGTGTGGTGGTTTGAAAGAAAATAGCCCCCAAAGGGAGAGGCACTGTTAGAGTGTGGCTTGTTGAAATGAGTGTGGCCTTCCTGGAGGAAGTGTGTCACTGTGGGGTGGGCTTTGAGGTCTCTTTCGTTCAGGCTTCCTTCAGTGTGACCGCCCACTGACTTCCTTTGCCTGTAAGAGGTAAGCACTCTCAGCTTCAGCACCACGTCTGCTTGCTGCCGCGTTCCCCATCACGATGGTAATGAACCTCTGAAACTGTAAGCCAGCCACCCCAATTAAATGCTTTCTTTATAAGAGTTGTCATGGACATGGTGTCTCTTCACAGCAATAAAAACCTAACTAAGACATTAGGGGATGCATTTTCTTATTGTCTGCAATTGTTCTTTATTAGGAATTTTATAGCACTGTGTCATATGTTCATAGCCTCCTACATCATCTGATTGTTTAGTTTCAAGTAAGTTATTTCCAAATAGGATGTCTGTGTGTGACCTATTTTATCCACCCATTCAGAGAAGCTCTCAAATTACATAGACTAGTGTTCTGCCAGGCAGTGGTGGTGCACACCTTTAATTCCAGCATTTGGGAGGCAGAGGCAGGCGGATCTCGGAGTTTGAGGCCAACCTGGTCTACCAACCAAGTTCCAGGATAGCCAGGACTATTACACAAAGAAACCCTGTCTTGAAAAAAATTTAAAAAAGGTAGAATATAGTCTTCCTTTATATAGAATAGATTCAGGCTTAAGACTTTTTTGGGAGTTAAAAATTATTTCAGGTTCATAGAACCTGGAGTGTATTTTGCAGAATGGCAAACTCTCACATTTTTCCCCTCTACTTTTTCCAATGTTGTCTCAATATTTTTAGTTGAATAATTAATTTTTATTCATGGGTCTGAAATACTACTTTTAAAACGTATGTATTAGCGGCTACACGTAATCTGCTCTACTCAGGCATCTTCAACAATCCCTTACTATTTGGTTTAATTCTAGCACCAAATTGTTTTAAGACCAAAATATGGTATTTTTTTTTTGATGGAGCAAAACTCCTCTCTCACTACCCTTTCAGAAACTTGTTTACATAACTTAGAGTCGTTTGCTTTTCCATATTGACCCAGGAAAAATATTTAAGTTTCTTGTGCTATTATAGTTCATAAACATGAATATGAATGTGTGGCTAATGTGATCAGACAGGCTACTTGGCATCTGAAATATTGCTATAAATAAATAGTAGTATAGTTGTATCACTATTCATTGATTCCACAAATATTTGGTGGGTGCTAAACACTGTTGAGTGCATGGTTTATGAGTCTACTATCAATAAACAAGTAAATCCGATGACTGAAATAAACAATACATCCAATATCTTAGAGGCAATGAAGGGAACTGTGTGGTTCAATGATAGACATTGAGGGAGGCTGGTGAAGGAGGCCAGTCTAGGGAGATGGACTATGGCAGAATTCAGAGCCATCAGCTAGACGAAGGGCAGCGGGAAGAGAGTTTTAGGAAAAGGGAAAAGCTCCTGGGGTAGAAGGGAACGTGCTCTATTCTCTCGAGTGAAGACTTTGCCTGTTGAACACGTTTCTTACCTGCTCTAGTAATGCCCTTGTTGGCCAGTTGCAAGAGACCCTTCTTCTTGAGTATGAAACTTGAGCCGATAAAAATGCTAGAGCTGATGGCCAGTGCCAAGCCGGCGTACAGACTGTATTTGTTTTCTACGTTTGCTGAAATGCTGACGTTGGTTAGAGTGGAGTTCAGGTCCGTGTAGAGGACAGGATAAGGCAGCAGCTGTGACACATTTGTGATCTCACAGAAAGCCTGGGCAGAGTTGGGACAGACCAGAGACAGCATGTAACCTGGTAAGAGAGAGGAGGAGAGGTTAAAAATGCAAGGGAGCTGGGTGAAGTCTATTCCTTTCCACGAAAGAGAATCCAGTGGGAGCAGGGAACTCCCGAAGAGGTGGTCCACAGGTCAAAGACTTTTTCTTTCTTTCTTTCTTTCTTTCTTTCTTTCTTTCTTTCTTCCTTCCTTCCTTCCTTCCTTTCTTCTCCTCCTCCTTCTCTTTCTTTCTTTTTTCTTTTGAGACAAGGTTTCTCTGTTTAGTCCTGGCTGTCCTGGAACTCAATCTCTAGACCAGGCTGGCCTCCACCCCAGAGATCTGCCTGCTTCTGCCTGCCTAGTGCTGGGATTAAAGGTAATACACCATCACTGCCCTATACACACTTTCAATTTAGCTTGCACACATTCTTAAAATGATTTAAAAATGAGAGATTTCCCACGGAAGTCCAGGATCCTCTGTCAACTGGGAGCACGTGGGTCTTGGCTCCAGTAAGGAAGCAGCCTCTTGAAAATGTGAGTGCTTACGTGGACGTGGCTTATGCGCCACAGTTCACCACAGCCCAGCCCAGCCCATCCACTGCACACCTTCTCATGATCAGGCTGGCTCTCAGAAAGAAGGGCTTGTGTACAGGGGTGTGGAGAAGGTTATGGCAATGCCACTGGCTTATAAACTACCCTATTATAGGAAATTTAGCTGACCCATTTGTGGGCTAGGAACTGTACATTCCAGAAAATACATTAAACTTTAATTTTGCATGCCACTTTGCCCAAAGAAAATCATTTTTCAGTTTAACTAATTGACTTGCTCCTGAATAAACAGAATATTGTGGGAAAAATGAATTAAACATCAGTATGCTTTATAAAGAATAAGACCAAAGTAAGAATGCAAACCCACTGGACCAGACCCACTATGCATTGGAATTTTTAGGCTAAACCCTAAAATATGAAACACAAATATTTTATACAGTATAAGAAACTTCTAATAGTTTTTCACTCAAACAGGTTCTGAATCAAAACTTTTAAACATTTTAAGGAAAATTACATTATTTAAGGAATTTCTAGAAAAAATTACACTGAGAAATGTTCTAGAACATTGCTCAAAAAGAACAACTGCAAATGTTTCCAGTAGCCAGGACTCCGCGTTCTTCCAGTGGGCATCTCATAACCCAAGACGTGAGCCCGTGTGGTGGCACTCTCGTGAAATTCAGGCCCTTGGCAGTTCAGCTCACAATTGAGGCCAGCCTGGAATACAGGAGGAGACAACAAACAAAAACAAATAAAAAACAAAGAAGAAAACCAAACAAAAACAGTCAACCAAAGTAACAACCAACAACAAACAAATAAAAAGAGAGCCCAGGAGTGATTTTGCTCCTTACAATTCTGATTCCATTCATTCCTGAGAAAACATTGAACTTAACTTCCCAGTGCATTCCTGTCCTTCACAGGCAGCTAACATAACCATTCCAGAACTTCATCTTCGAAATAGGGTGGGCGGACCTCATTCCAGAAAAACAATATGCCTTCTCAGCAGCTGATGGAGCAAAAACATTTCCTCCTCTTTAGGGGGTGTGGGGACAGCAGCGCCAAGGGAATGAAATAATCTTGGTTGTATTTTCCAACTTCTCTGTGTAAGGGGCAGACGCGAAGGCTGGGGGGGTTTTGTGGCAGGAGGAATAATAAAAGTCTTGCCTGGTTACTGACCTTAGAACTTCAGTCATTCACTCATGCTTTGGGAGTGTGTTCAGGGAGGGAAAGCCCACAGAGGCTGTGGCTGACGGAGGAGTGAGAATGAGGGTGTGGCAGTACCCAGCGCACGGGACGGAATGTGTGGGTACAGACCCTGGGGGGACTTGAGAAGTTTCAAAGCTAGCTCTAATCAGAGTAGGCGTCTCGAGATCCCAGGAAGCCAAGTCATTATTCAAGGAGTTGAATCTAGACTTTACTCAACACTGAAAGTCTATAATAGTCATTTAAAAATTGTAATAGACACTGTCAGTCACTTTGAAAGTGACACCAGACAGCTTGCTCAATCGCTCAACTTCTTTGATGTTACTTCTTAAAATATGAAGTGAAAAATAGGAGAGATGTGTCATTTGTAAAAAAAAATTAATAATGCTCAAACTATGTCAATGAATCAACCACACAACTTAAGAAATAAAATATTACTCCTTATAGGTAGCATCTACCCTGGACTCTCTTTAAACATTTCTCTCCTTAAAATGGTGAGTTCCTTGCTATAGTACCAAAGATGTATAACTGCAGAGGGCACAGCTAAGCAACCTGAGTCAACCTTTTTATTTCAGAAAATTATAAACATAACAGATTAGTAAAGCCTGTAAATCTTAATGTGCACACAAAGATCAAATGCTTTCATCTCTCAAAACCTTATATGCCTATAGAGAATCGTTTAACTGTCCAGTTTATGGCAGGCTATCTGATGTCTAGTATGTGGTTGGGGAGAGCTACATTTCAACTTGAGAATCAAAGCAATGCATTCCCAGGTTGCAGAAAGCATTGTCTCACCGTCTAGTCTTTTATGTGGATTATCAGCCTTCCCATTGTTGGCAGATGGCTCTTCCCCTGGTGTAGTCTGGATGTTAAATGTTCAGGAAAAGCCTCGTGCCCAGGGCAGTACTATTGGGAGATAGTGGCACTGCCAAGAGGTGGGCTCTAGTGGGCAGGGGGTCTTTGAATCATTGGAGGTGTGCCCTATTATGGCACGCCTTCCAGGTTTTTCTCCCCTCCCCATGATGAGGTGGGCAGTTTAGGCCGGCTACAGGCTCCACTGTGACAGGCTGCCTTACTACATTTCCAAAGCAATGCGATAAAATGTACCAGACTGGAACTTCCAAAATTATGAGCCCAAATGTATTATTCCTCTTTATAAACTGATTCTCTCGGTTGATTATTTCTGCACTGATACTGAAAGATCACCAGAGGTGATAGGAATCCAAGCTTCAGCTTGCTCGTAAAATCTCTCACTATCTCTTCCTCCCTCAGAGGTCTCCTACAGTCCAGGAGGGCTTTGAACTAGCTTCGTTAGCAAGAGTGACCTTGGACTTCAGCTTCTCCTATACCCAAATGGTGGGATTACAGGCATGCACCTTCACACTAGTTCATGTGGAGTTTGAGATCGAGCCCAGGGTTGTGTGTATACTTGGTAAATACTCCACCAAATGGGCAACATCCTTAGCCTGAGTTGACTCTTGCACATCTGGAATTCTCAAAGCTGCCGCTGGCCTTTCAGCCTGAATCCCACTCAGGAAGAAAACACAGAAAGACCTGAGAACCAGTCGCAGGCAAATACGCGGCCTGAAGCAGGAACCCAGTCTAGCCCACCCTCATAGACATATCGGCAGGAAAAGAGTACAGCGACCCGTCTCTTTGGTGTAGAAAATCTGAAGGAAGTCTTTCTGCCCACCACATTCACTCTGCAGACTTGAGCCACTGTCGGCCAGGTTACACCTCCCTTCCTCGATCTCACGGACTGTAGCGTCGGTTTCCATCCCGATTGCCTCAATTGCTCCCAACCCTCAACTTTAGAACCTCATGTGCTCTGGAGCTTGCTGGCCTCTGACCCTGTACGGCACCGCTGCCCCCTCTCACCCGCTCCTCAAACAGCACAAGTTATACGTCCATCCAAATATTCATGGACTTTCAGCTGCCCCGAATCTTTTAGAAGCTGGGGTATAGCTGTGAATGTAACAAAATTCTCACTCTCTTGTGTAGTAATAGGAGCAGCGGGGCTGCGTCCCCAGCACCCCGCTGCCCGCAAGGCTAGCTTTACCGGAAATAATTACAAGGACACTGTATTCTTTTAAACACTGCTTGGCCCTTTAGCTCTAGCCCTTACTGGCTAATTCTGATATCCGGATCAACCCATCTCTAATAATCTGTGAGCACAGGTCTTACCGGGAAGATTCTAGCCTATGTCCATCCTGGGTCGGAGCTTCATTGCCTGTGTCTGCCCGGGAGCAAGGCATGGCGTCTCTTCTGAGGCGTCTGCTCCCGAGAGGAGAGCTGTCGAGTCTGAGCTCACTTCCTCTTCCTCCCAGCATTCTGTTCTGTTTTCTCCACCCACCTGTGTTCTAACCTATGAGGGCCAGCCAAGCAGTTTCTTTATTTTTTTTTAACCAATGACCTTCCTCCATCACTCTTCTTTCCTAACAGGGAAGGATAGAGAAAGGAACTGTGCAATATGCTTAAATGCCAAGGAAAGCAGGGAAGGCGCATACATGTGTGTATTCTGGAAACAGGATGAGGCAGGAGACGTCTCTGCTGGCTGTAAAAGCCAACACTGGAGACAGAAGGGTGTCTGGGGGTAAGGAGACTGTGTCGTCAGCTGGGTGACAATGGGGAGATGCAACAAGATGTGGTCTCAGGGCAGTTGGGGCAAGATCGGGTGAACTGAGCTGGTGACAAAGAAGGCCGCACCCTGTCGATCTTCTGTCTTCTTTCCAGAACTCTGCACGGACTCTCATTTTCGTTCAGAAAGTGCAAGTGCCCCTGCCCTGTAGTCTACAGACTTGCGCCTGGCTTCCTCAGTTGACCCTCTGGAGTTGTCTTAGGCTAGTTCCTCCTCACCTTACAGCTTTCATAGAGGCTACTTATTCAGCCCATTACAGAGCACTGGCACACATAGCCAGCTGCTTCTTGGCACTGAAATGCCTCTTCCTAGGTTTGTGGGCATAGCTCAATGTCAGAACGCTAGCTCAGTACACGCCCCCCCCACACACACACACACAACACATGTCCTTAGACAGCCATTCTCTGCGGTGCCAATCAAAGAAACTTTCAATTCCCTCTCAGCAAAGCCCCCTAGTTAACGGCCCCAACCAACCACCCTTCTCCTCGTAGCCTACGTTGTTATAACAGTTGCATATCCACACAGTTATGGATTTGCTCAACCAAGCAGCTGTTGAGCCCACACCACCCAAGACGCCGGGCTAGCTATGTATTTGTTCACGGGTAGCCAGTTCCACTGTGTACTGGTGAGGTAGGTCAATGGGACAGGCCAACCGGCTGTCACTCCCACAGAACTGACGATTTTAACGAAAGCGCAAGCAAACCAGAATAAATGGGGAAGGCAGAACAGGAAGGAGAAACCATTTAGACTAATTTGGGACAGATGGGGGTTAGAAATAAATTAGAACAAATGTGGAGCAAAATGAGGAAGAACTGCACAGATCTGGACATCGCTGTGAAGCAGACAGATGTTCATGTGAATTCTCACGCAGCTGAGTAAGATGCCCATTATTCCTATTCACAAAACAACTGAGAGACGAGGGAGCAGCTCAGAAGCACACGCTTGTCTGGCACAGGGAGGCCTGAGGTTTAACCCCCAAGCACTTCAAAAGCAAAGAAATTGTGACGATAAACAAAGCGGCAGATGCAGCAACACGAAATGCTTCAAAACGGAGGTGAGAAGCTGCCACAGGTGTAAAACCTCTATCTTCACATCAGGTCTTCTCCGAGTGGCCTGCGGAAGGGCAGTGTCACAGGACGGCCAGCCCGGAGGTTTCCATAGTGAGCAGCTGCTTTCCCACACTCTACCACCAGTAAGAAAGGTCACCCAACTGCTAGGGGTTGAATCCTCTCGGAGGCCACGGGACCACAGGGGTGGGGGTGGGGGACGACCCAGGTGTGGTAGTGCATGCCTTTAATCGCAGGGCTCAGGGGCAGAGGCAGGTGAATCTCTAAATTCAAGGCCAGCCTGATCCACATCGTGAGTTCCAAGCCAGCCAAAAACTGTGTAGTGAGACCCTGCCTCAAAAACACCAAGAATGTATAAATGAGCACACAATTTGCAATGAAAAGCAGGAAAGGAGCTCAGGGCATCCCAGTAATCTTGCACACATATGGAGCATTTTAAAAGCAATCATTTATAGTTCATACTAAATGTTAGGCTCAATAACGTACATCATTGTTTTCTGAACAACTTTTAGTGGAGAGTTTTATTTTGTTTTTAAGTAGTGCTTAATTTTGGCACTTACGAAATCTTCATGACTTAGAAAAACCTTTGTCTTAGTTTTCTTCTTAAGATACAGAGAAAATTTCTTTCCGAGCATTTGATAAGCAGTTATACTTTATACAAAAAATCAAATTGTCTTAATAAGATCTGATTATATGATGGATTTTGAGAAACGCCTGTCACATGTATTATTTTTTTTTGAAAGAGTGACGTATTGAAATTCTAAAATCACACCAGGTCTCAGGGGCCGTGGAATGGGTAGGGCGCTGTGTGTTCGTTCCAGCTGGAATAACCAAGCAGCACCTATGTTGATCTCTAAACAGCAGTTAATTCCCACATCTCTGGAGGCTGGGAGTCTGAAGTCAGCCTGCCTTGTGGTTGTGCCCTTGGTGACAGCCTGCTCTTCCCTATAGGGGGAGATTTCAGGCCCCAAATCCCAGACACTACAAAACACCAAGCTTTAGAGCACTAATAAATAGGACATTAGTGGAAAATTCCACACCAGGAAACTCAGTTTTATCTAAAAACTTATTTAAAAATATTGTATAAAATTACCTTCAGAAAACATGTATAATTTTTATATGAAATGTGTGTGAATGTATTACTCAGACTTGGGTCCCATGCCAAGATATCTCATTATGGTTACGTAAATATTTCATCAATAGCAAACATCCAAAATACTTCTGATCCTAAACATTTAAATGAGGGTCACTCAGACTGTAATCTCCTACATGAAGGCCTCGGCCCTTATGACCAATTATTTCCCAAAGGCCCCATTCCTTAATCCTGCCACATTGGAATAAGGGCTGCAATGTGAATCCAGGAAGGTCGCACCGCTCAATGTACTACATGCACTTTCAAGCGAAATACAGACCCAAATAATCCCATGCTTAGTTTGAACACTCACTCTGAAGCCGTATTAAATTCTCCAGTTCAGTGTCTGTATCTGTGAGATGGAGAACAGAACTACGGAATTTAGTTATGTACAAGAGCGAACGAATATCCGTTTTCTATGAATGTCTCGATATTTCATGATCACACAGTTATACATCAATATGGGAATAGATGAGGAAGGCATGGCCAGTTCTCAAAGAGTCATAATTCCTCAATTGCCAATTCTTAAAATTTTTAAAGTTATTTTTATCTCAAGGATATGTGTTTGGCTTGCATGTCTGTCTGTATGCTACATTCATGCATGGTGGCCGCAGAGGTCAGAAGAGGGGGTTAGATCCCCTAGAACTGGAGTTGCAGACGAGTGTGAGCTGCCCTGGAGATGATGCAGTCAAAGTCATGGCCTCTGAAAGAGCCCTCAGTAGGCCTGACCACTGAGCCATCTCACTAGCTCCTGGTTCCCTCTCTGTCTGAAGTTTGTGTTTCCAACCCCAAGTCAGGTAAGAACTAATCTGAGACGAGAATTTATAAATGTCCTTTTGGTTGCCAAGTGTTTCCTCTAGGCCATCATAACGTCACCTCCACAGTCCCTGGCAGAGAATGCTTCTGCAGTTGGGGTGTTCCAGGTGACGGCTATAGTTTTTACATTCTGTTTTCATGGGGCCACATGTCCATTGTTAATAAAACCCCACTGGCTGTTCAACTCCATCTGAGTTCTGTTAGAACACTTGCAAACAGTACTGGAAAAAAAAACCTTTCTTTTTGAGATAATTTGGGGTTATAAGGTCTTTTGAAGTATTAAGTCATGGTTTAAAAACTTGAAACCAAAGTGCTACTGTCAGTTTTTCTTTGTGGAACTACTTTATATTCAGACTCCATGACTGGAGCCCCATTTGGTCTCAGCTAGACAAACACTTTCTCTAAAGGATCTGAGCCACCCAGTCTGCAGAACCCCCCCCCCCCACCACCACACCAAACCACCCCCACCCCCAAGTGCGAGCAGTCAGGGCCTTATCTCTTAGATTTTGCCACCATGGTAGGGCCATTATCAGGTCGTTTGCTTCTTGGTTAACTACCTGTCACTAGGGTAGGAAACTGCTTAAGCCTTCTAGAGTCAGGGCCAGACTGATGACAGTTTTTCCTAGGACCTAGCCCAGTGCTTGGCTCACAGAACTCTTGGTCATCACCTCAGAGGAATCAGCGAGAAGCAGACTCTGTCTAAGTCCCCATCGGGCACTGCCCTGTAGGTTTCCTGTGGTATTACACCAGCACCTACTGTGACTGCCAACAACACGATTTCTTGCCACTCTAGAGATAAAGAAAAAGGACTCAGGTTGAAGCTTAGTCTCGGCCTCCTACTGAAAACATGGATGAACCTCTCCCGACTTCCCCAGCAACTTCCTGCACAATTAATCTCAGAGCTGAAACAGAGCCCCAATATTTCGTGTTACTAAATGCACGAGTAAAGCAGGAAAAACATCTAGAGGCCAAATGAGTAGGTGCAATCAACTGACAGATCCCTGAACAAACAAGGGCAGGGTGCATTAGAGCCGAAATGACTTAGTGGCTTCAGAATTATTTAGAAAGGGATTAACTCCAACATGGCTGTCTAGGACGTAAGTCTAGATACAGCTGCCTTAGAGACCACCGATGTCAATTTGAGGAGAGTTTGTGAATTGTGGCACATTTTCTTTTACATGTCCCTCCCCTTTCTTACTAGCTGTATTTTGATGCCGTCCTCCCTCTCTTCCTCCCTTCTCTCTCCTCTTCTTTTTCTTTCTATTCCCCTAGTAAGCTATATAGCAGAGAAGCCAAGAGGAAACGACACGAAAGATGTTGCCACAAACTTCTGAAAGGTGCGGTTTTTACTAGACAGCTCTCCGCCCTCTTTCTTTTTGAGTCGTTGGCAAGTAGATTAGAAATGGCCTTTGCCCGGACGCTGTAAAAAATGATCACTTCATTTGCAAGGCACACTTCCCAAGACTGCTCCACCCTTTCCCTGCTTCCATCCCAGTTCACTCTCGCATTTTGTGTTGAGACCGCAGGAAGCCAGTGGATGGCCTGAACATCTGGCAGAGGGCAAGGCCCAGGGATTTTACAGGGCAAGGTGAGGGCCATAAATCCCAGCGTGGTCCGCTGGAAGAATTTACAAAAGGGCACGCCCAGTTCCCTGTTTGAGGAGTTTCCCTACTCAAGGGAGTGCTCGGCAAGTCATAGTATAAGTTCCATGGGAGATGTTTCATTCCGAAGGCAGTGCAGCCACGCCTAGCGCCCGCCCGGCTGTTCTGAGCGACGTCTCAGTGGGACCCAGGCGCAGCCACCAAGGGCGGAGCGTGGGAGGCCCGCGGGTTCCCCCGCACGCCCTCTGCCCAGCAGGTGGCGTGGATCACGGACTCTGGAATTGAGGCTGAGTCAGAGGAAACTTTCTCCTCGATCCAACTGGGATTTTGCCCTTAGCATCCCGAATTTCCCCGCCACACATTCATTACTACATAAATGACACGGGCCAGCCCGGAGACCAAGTGGGCGTCGGGTCAGTCCTGCTCCCATCTGGGCTTTCCCACGGAGCCTGGAGAGTGGTGGGCACAGCTCAGTACTTACTGTCCGGTTGGTGGGACAGCCGACTGAACGGCGGGGACACTGAATGACGAGGAGACCGCGTGAAGAATCCGCACATTTCCTCTGGTCTGGTTGTATCTCAGACCGCGCATCTGGGCTCCCAGCTACCTAAGTGCAGGTATCCCCACTCCCCCGCCACCGGGGCTGACGCTCACCTTCTTGGCAGGGCTCTCCGGGCGGCAGCCTCAGCTGACCCCCCATGGCCTGGGGACCGGGCTTCCTCGGCGCCAGCGTAGTTTCTCACACACCTGTGTCCTGGGACCCACGGCGGAGCTTCGGAGTCTGTCGTGAGTGTGCGATGTCTCCTCCCCCGTGGCAGCCTCAGCCAATGAGAGTGGCGGGGTGTGGCAGCGGAGCGAGCCGCGCCCCCTGGTCTGGTGGTGGAGGCGCATTCTCCGCCCATCGACAGCCGCCTAGGTTCCTCCGGTGTCCTACGTGTCTCTAGGGTGGACTAGGGGTTGTGCGGGTGAGCTGTCCAGAAGTTGATGAGGTCACAGCGTGGGTGCTGCCGAAGCCAGTCTCAGAGTTTACTGGAGTAGAGTCTGTGCTGAGGCCCCCTTCTAGCTATCCGGGAGCCGAAGAAGTGCAGGCTGGTGTCTGTGGGTCCTGCTCATGGAGGGATTCTTCCATCTCTGGCTTTTGTGGCAGAGGGCTAGAGTCTGCCACAGGGCCCTGTCTGCGGGACTTCTGCGCTGAGTGCATGCGAAAGTTTATTTTGGAAATTTTTGAAAAGGCTTGGGGCTTCGGTTCTCTTATTACCCCCCGCCCCGCATTGTTCTCCACGCCTATTTGTTTTCAACCAGCAGACACCTCCCTCTCCACTCAACTTCGTTACCCCCACGCCCAGTCATATAGATATGAAATGAGCTTTTAACGGAACAGCTATGCTCAAACTGAGAAGATCTGTTCCCACACTGAGGTTTATGGTATTTAGCAGTAAGTTACAGAACATCGTGCGGTTAACTCCAGTTCGCAGAGGAGGGATTCTAGGGAAAGAGTGAGGCGGAGTAACCTAGCCACGAGGTATCCATACCTCGAGAAATGGGCACACTTCCTGCTGAAAGTTTCAGAAGGAAGAACCGGAAGCGTGCTTGCGTGTGGGGTGCTTTTGTGCCCTGCCTCTTAAACGCTGAACTCCTATCCGCTCTCCTCCCCTTTACTCTGGGTGTTCTTGAGCAGCTATTAACTTTATTGCCTAAGAGTTTCACTGCAGAGATCCAGCTTGCTTTTCTTGTTTTCAGGCTAATGAGACAAGACTTAAATCCAAATTAGTCAATAATTCAAGGTGCATACTTTTTACGTGGGGATGACTTGTGGAAGACTAATGGGGTGGGGACAGGAACAAGTGCAAGTGGCAAGGCAGACTTAAGACAGCTTTAGGTAGGGAGCCTTGTGAAATAGACGTCTATTTAAACGCTTTCTGCGGACATCAGAGTTGAAGTTTATCTTCATCGCATTGGCAATGATTAATAAATCATTATCAGGTACTTATATCAGGTACATACAACTATTTAACGAACATCAGCTACTATATGGCAAAAAGTATCCCAAGCACGTCATAAAAACTTTTTTAATTTGTATTTTAAAAAAAAACCCAAAAGGGGATACCAAATATTTTGCTCTATTGCTCTTCCCTTTATTCCCTTGAGATGGGGTCTGTTACCGAACCTGGCACTAGCCTAGGCAGCAAGTCCCAGAAATCCTTCTGGTTTTGTCCTCAAGAATTCTGCATGTATAAGCCATGTTAGCTTTTTATATGGGTTCTAGTCCTCCTGTGCACACAGAGATGCTGTTACCTTTCAGGTCATCTCTCCTGCACTTTGAGATGAAGGTCTGTTTTCACAGGAGGTACTTTGTTATAATTCTTGCTTATTTCAGTTCTGGAAATGTGATAAAACCCTCTGAAAAAGAATATTCAAACTTACTTAAGATCATTGCTGTCCCAAGCCCAATGTGGCCCACGCAGAAATCGACCATGAATTTTCCTTCCCTGACTACTTCTAGATGAACAGATACGTGGACACCACACAGAATGTCATTAGTGCATTAGCTGGGGTGAGTGCTGTCCCATCCAAGAATATGCTGTTTAACCCAAAGAAGAACAACACCTAAAGGTCTCCAAGGAGCCCACTCTTGATTTTGGGAAATCCTTTTATGACTCAAAACATAGACTGTGACAGCAAACAAGGCCTTCTAAAAGGCAGACTCCCATTACTGGGCTCTGTGGAAGGTCACAAGACCTGGTGATGGTTGTGAAAACTGAAGGTTGGCCATGCTTCTGAGCCTGAGGAAGCAAAGTCACACTGTCTTGGAGCTTGGGCAGGTCTGGAGAGTGCCTCCTGTGTGAACCTTTAACCTCCAAACTGCCACATTATGGGGAGTTGCAGTTCCCTCAGCTGGGGGTGGTGGCAAGGTGAGGGGTAGCTGGTAGGTAGGCAGTCATTTGTAATGTGTTGTATGTAACACTAGCTCACTGCTCTTAGTTTGTCATGGTCCCCACCGCTTATCAGTCTATTTAAGGGGCTGTCAATTTTGGAAATCTTCCTAAGAAGCAACTGATTTTCTTTTGCTGACTCAAAACTCATTGTCTTCCATTCTTATTTTAAATACTTTCCTCCTTATACTTTGAATTTAATTTATTCTTTGTGCTTTTCAGATAATTGATTTTAAGCACTTATTGTCTTTTAATATGCATATTTGAAAGGCTGGGGAGATGTTTCTGTGGTCAAAAGTGGATACTGTCTTGGAGAGAGCCTGAGTTTAGTGACCAAGACTCACACCTGCCGGCTCACAATTTATAATTTCAGCTCAAAGGAACCTAACACCCTTTTCTGGCTGTCATGAGCACCTGTACTTGCGCGTGCACGCACACACACACACACACACACACACACACACACACACACACACAGAAAGAATGAAAATGTCTTTTAAAAATTATGTAAGTAAGCCGTATGTTGGTAGTGCACACCTTGAATCTCAGCAACTCTGGAGGCAGATGCAGGTGGATCTCTGAGTTTGAGGCCTGCCTGGTCTACAGATCAAGTTCCAGGACAGCCATGGCTGTTACACGGAGAAACTCTGTCTCAACAAACCAAAATTCAAACCAAGCAAACAAACAAAACAAAAAACTATGTAAATATTTGAGGCTACCATTTAACTTCAATTACTATGTTAGCTCCAGCCTACAAATTTTGTGACATTGTGCTCTTATTAACATTTAGTTCACAATTTTTAAAATCATTCATTTTTATTTCTTCCTTAACCCGTTTCATTTAGGAATACATGGCTTGGCTTCCAGATGCTTCGTACTTTCAGAGCTGCAGTTTCCCATTTCTTTTGGATGGACCCCACTTTCTAAAGCATGTGTAAGAAAATGGGAAAGCCTTTCACTTGGTCCAGTAAATCTTAGGAGCTACATACGCAACACTTCACTTCCCAGATCTCCCTCTACCCGAGTCTGTTCTTGGTGCCCTTTCTGTCTTGTCAACTAACCTCTTCTTGAGTTGCTTTAAGTCAAACAACTCCAGCATCACTCTTGAATCCATCTTTTAATTCACGCCCCACAGCCTCTCAATCAGCAGATCTTATTTGCCTCGGCTTTAAATCTATATCCAAAATATGACCCCTTCCTTCTACCCAACTCCCACCATCCTGGTTAGAGTCATGGTCACCTCTTACTGAATTACTGCCACAGTCTCTTAGTGTTCCCTGCCTCATCTTCCTTCTCAGATCACAGTTTCCTAACTTCCTCTATCCCTTGCTAATGCTGACGGTGTCTCTGCTCCTCCTTGACAATCCAATAGAACCTTTCCCGGGAAGTAGGCATGCCTAGTCCCATCACTGAACTCAGGTCTTCCATGCCTAGTCCCGTCACTGAACTCAGGTCTTCCCTAAAAGAAGCTTTGCCTGAGCCCCTCCCTCATGCCATTTTCCTCCTGACCACACCTGACTTATGTGTCCCTACCGTATTTGATCCTTCTCCTCCTCATCAGAATGCTTGCTTCATGAGGGTAGAAATTTACCCTTGTTAGCTAGTGACTTCCTAGTGCTTAGAAGAGAACCTGGGATTTCATAGACTTGAATGAATAATTTTGTATTGTAGTGGGCCACATGCTACATGTTGAGTAACAATAAATAATGGAGACAGTCCTAAACTCAGAGGGTTTAGAGTTCTTACAGGGAAGATAATCATTTTGTGGTGAAGCTATTAAATTCACAATCTTTAATCCTAAAAGTGGAGGTGTCATTGATGGCCTGAGCTAGCTGAAGGTCTTGGTGGGCTGGGAGACAGGTTATCATATACCTAACACAGAGTCAAAAACCAAAATTCCTCAAATCACAGTTTTTTTAACAATGGAAATACATAAACAATCGATTTCATGCAAATGAGCACCTATAGTTACAGGCAGTTTAAACAGGATTATAAGACTTAGAGGGCGCTGACTCAGCAGGACAGAGAGCCCGGTGGAAAGCAGCCTATTAAGTCGATAATCCTTGTAGCTCTGTTCTGTCTGTCAGTCAAGGTTACCGCAGATCCCAGGAAAAGACACTCAGTGACAGGTAGATTGGGTCAAGGTAAACACACTGTGGAGGGGAAAATAAAACAGCACATAGTATTCTTACCCCCTGAAACTTGAGCCAGGTGGGAAAACTTCCGATTATATGTTTCATAGACACAGACAAGATTTTTACTTACCTTCAGTTTCAGCAAGAAACACACCCCTCCTCAAAGGCTTCCGTGTTCACGTCACTTCCTTCTTAAATAGTCATGTTCCTTGCATGTGGTCCCTCAGGGCTGTATCATAACTGTCCTAATGCTCTCTCTCCCCAACATGGTCTCTGAAGACAGGACTCAGACCCCCCTGCTCCAGAACAACTTCCTTGTCCATCACAGGTGCTCAGGAGTGGCTGCTCCTGCCAGTTCCTCTAGCTCATCACAGTCTCTTTGAACAGTGTCATGACAAGAATCCACAAGAACGCGACATCATGCTGCATGAGGGCACCTGTTGTATTTATCTCAGCTACGTCTTCCTTGAGTGAAGAACAAGAGAAGACTGCTCCAAACTAGTCCTAGGAATGCACATTTTAAGCCAGAAAAAAATGTGTATTTATTTAGCATCTAAAAGGAATCAGACAAGTTTGTATAAGAACATGAGTAATCACTGTAATTTAGCGTTTTCCCTAGCTACTTATCTGTTAAACGTTATACTACCTACCTGCCCAGCATT